GCTAAAAATAATGATGAGCTGCTCTACAGAGGGTAGGATTGGTGGGAAAAATAATAGAATTTCGGGCCCGATTAATTTGAGGGATAATAGAGAAAATTGCTAACGGTGAGTCTTGGTTTGGGGGGCTTGAGGAAAAGGACAATCAGCAAAGTCAAAGAATGCTCTCTTGAAGGCAGGTGCAGGATTAGCTTGAAGAGGACTTGGGGGTGAGTTGCTTCTTAGGCATTTAAAGCCTATACTCATCATCATCCTTATTCCACCATTATCAGTCACCACCCCCTGCTGTTTCTTTAGAGCATCATCATTTTCAGAGTCATATTCATCACTGATTTCTTCTCCCGATCCAGCCCTCCAGTTGGCAAGTACATCTATATTTGAGACAGTGTCTTGCTGTATAACCCAGGCTTGCCTGGAGCTTAGGACCCGGAGTGCTGGAATTACAGACATACGCCCCTATGCCTGACTCAGCAAGGCCTTTTCCCCTAACGGTATCTCTTGATTCATCTTGTTCTTCCATTTGCTCAGTTGTAACTCTATTGTGTAGCTTCCCATCCTTACGTGTCTAAACTCCTCCCCAGCGAGCAGTTCCCTTACTTTCCTCTTTACCTATAGTTTGCATGCAATGTTTCTGGCACACAAAATGGCAGTGGCTTTCTTTAAACATTTCTACCCTCCTGCCTCTCTCCGTCCACACGTGTTCATGCCCTCTTCTCCAGTCAAATGAGTGGCATCACTCTGTCCTTGTGCCATATGTATTTCCAACGCAGGGAAGCTTTGCTGATATTCTTATCATCTCATCACTTATCACTTCATCCTCCTCTCCTCAGTTCAGATGCTAGTTGCTATGAACTTTCCACAGCTACCTTCATCAATCAAGACATCTCTCTAGTCCAGAGATCCCCTGGGATATAATACCGTTTTGACTCGCTTTCTTGTTTTCTCTGTGTTTTATCTACATATCCAAGTAGTAGGCTTTTTAAAGCTGAGACAAGAGGCTACTTCCCAAGCTTGTGATACACATGCAGAATGAGGAAAGTAGATTGGGATCAGCTCACAGTTCATGGTGGCATTTCTTCTGGCTATAGGAGGATACTGGCTGTACCAATCTGGGTATTTGGGTATTTGTTTATTGCATCTGGGACATCCTCCTGGGCTATAACAACCACTGTATCAGGTACCAAGGTCACGTCCTGCTTCCTACCCTCACACATCATTGTTCTTCATCATGCTGACAAGGCTGAGAGAGCCTTCTATATTAGGCAGGCATGCTACAAGCCATTTGTCCTACAGGAACCTGGAGGAAGCCCTTGTTTCCAGCCTGACAGCTCCCATCCTCTTGGTTATTTTCCCTTTGCAACACAGCCTGACTTTTCTGTAAATTAGCACACTTCTTTATAGAAGCCATACCTTCATACCAAGGTTTATTTCAAGTCCTGTGTATTTCTGGCAACAAATCTCTTCATTATTCTTCCTACCTCAGCAAGGACTAGCTGTCTGCCCTATATTAGTGCAGTTCCCAGGGTGGATGTGCATGCTAAGGAAGAGATGGAGCATCCGAGAGTGACCCTCAACAGAACAAAAGGAGTTCATGCTGAAGGTAACCTGTGGTCCTATAGTCTTTCACAAAAGAGGACTTTCTTCTGCATTTAGGTGATCGTGCCCTCTATTATTTGCTGCTTCCTGCACAGCCCCAAATGCTCTCTCCTAAGAAGGATGCTTTATATAGACAGCACCACCAGGACATCTTTGCCTAGCATTCCTTATGACTCTAGGGTATAGTGGGGCACAGGCAAGAGACCAGAATGGGAAGAGGAAGGGGCTCAGGGATTCTGCTCCTACTGTCTTGCTGCCTTCTAGCTGCTGTAACAGAGTTGACCCTCTATAGCAAAAGCCACCCCCTCCATCACTCCAGTTCTCTGCCTGGCCACTCTTTCCAAGGTCAGTAATAATAACAGGCTCTACTTTTGCTACTCCAGAGCACTTAGGCATCCCTTGATGATCTCTTCGCCCTGGTCATTGAACTCCCTTTGTTAAGTTTTTCAGCGTGCCCTCTGTCTGCTACATGGATTCCAGTTAATGCAATGCCCATTCAGAGAGAGCCCAGACTTAACTTACCTCTTCAATGACAGAAGTGGGTTCCCATGGCTCTCCTCCCCATAGTACTATACAAGATAAATGACTACCACAAAATCACTTTATAACCCTAGATTACAAAAGATAAAAAGGAGCCAGACACAGTACTTGCGTGTTATTTTTGAAAATCCATGCTTCCAGACATGAACCCTGTTACTGCAGGTGTTCTGAATTTTTTTTTTAATATGTGCTTTGAGCTTGACCCTTCTCACAGGGTTCCCAATTAACAATGAAGGATTGAGACCATGTTATCTTATTCCCAGCGTGGAAGTACACTGGATAGACTATGCCTGACTAAATCACTGGGAAATGACTCTGACCTTACACCTGTAGGATGCCACCTGAAATCTTTCTTTGTGCCTCAGCCAGGTTGTCACTAGTGGATGTGACAAGTGTTCCATGAGGATTTCCGCTCCAGTACCGCCGTTCTCAGGGTAACTTGGAGATACTTACAGTCCTTCCTTCCTTCTGCTCGACAAGGACAGTTTTCATGTTCTGAACGGGTCAAGCTATTAGTCACCAGATTGCATCAGAGAGAAACTTTAAAACAGGAGCCTGAGTAGAGTTCACCGTTCTTTGGAGGCCTTGGGTGAACTGGGTTTTAATATTTCGGTCTTCATAGATCATGGCCCTGAAAGAAATTTCCAGGCTATTTCTAAGCGATCGTAGCTGCCAGTCTGAAAATCCACACTCGGCTCCTTCCTTCTTCACGATTCCCCCCAATGAAAACAGTCAGTCTTTCTCTCAAAGTGCACTAGAGCAGCCTCTCGGGGAAGGATGTTTTTCATCCAAATGTTAAGGTTCCAGGGTCCAGAAGGGCCAGCAAATGCAAACCTGAAATGAATGTCTCTGAAGCAGAAGCCCAGCCCTGGTCCTGTCACACATGCATAAAACAAATGGCCCAGTGGAAGCATCACGTAAATCACTCAGTAGAAAGTGCCAAAAATTTCACTGCATTCCTTCCTGAATTCAAAACCCAAATAGCCTAGCGCTCTAAACCCTCACCTAGAAACCAGGGAGGGAAAACGAGCTGTGAATAACTATGGGGGAAGTGTGAGGGGTGGTGGGACCTGAAGGGACCACCTGCTAATCTACATTCACACCGTATTTTGTATCCAGCTATGAATCAAAATTCTCGAGCTCAGTTTATGGCTTTGAAAGGCCCTAAAGTCTTGTTACCATCCTCACTGTTAGTTACCAGTAATAAAGCCAAAACTTGTACGAGCTTTTATGCTTCTTAAAGGATGTTGATCTACCTGGGTTCTATCTGATTTGGGGGAATCAGTGTAGATGGGTTTCAGGTGCCAGATATATGGGTTGTATAGTACATTACAAGCTTTGGTTTCTTGAGTCACTGTATGCCTAGGGGGAAGAGAAATGTCATGTCTTATATGTCTAAGGAAAACCACTTCGACACATTTTTAAGTAAATATGCTCTTTTCCAAAAACATAGGTTTGTTTTTTTTAAAAAAAAAAAAAAAAACTCTTCAGAACAACCCTTATTGGTGTTTACAAGAAATCATTTTTGTAGGGGGGACAAACAGCCTGCCCTCTTAGGTGTAGGAAGTAAGCTGAGTTAGATCTGAAGCACTCCTAATGATTGGGAAGAAAGATGGGTTTCCTTCCAAGGGTCCAGCTATAACAGCAGCACTATGCAATAGATCGTGTGTGTATAGCATCTTATCTTGTACCGAAATGTAAGGTTTAGTTCAGTATTTTATGTTTCAGAGTTTTATGACTGTTATGACAAAGTGTCACAAGCTGGTTGGCTTCAGACAGTAGAAATTGATGGTGTCACGGTTCTGGAGAGCAGAAATATAAAATCAGGATGACAGCAGGGAAGAAACACAGTGGCATCAACAGGGTGGCAGAATCAGGAGACGCCAATCTTCATCTCTCTCCAGAAAACAAAAGGCAGCTGTCTGCAAACAAATATGGCCTTGGGAGGGTCCATTAAAAAAAAAAAAAGGCAACACAAAGTGAGCAAACTCCCAAATAGCCACATACAAAGGATTGCTGGGGAGATGCTAACATGTCTGGGGATGGCTAGGAACAAAGAGGTTATCAGCCACAGAGAGGGTGCCACCATGGTCCCCAGTGGTTTGCTTCCGAGGCAGATAATATCATCATCTTTTGCCAATGATGTCATAAAATGCATCCTTGCCACCAACCTCAGTGAGAAAGATGCTGATGCATAAGTTCCAGGAAGGTGCTACCAGAGCAATACCCTGGGATGGGATCTCCACACCTCCTCCCAAATCTGTATGTGTTCTAGATGCTGCAGCTGTAACCCGGTAGCATGTGCTGTTACTCCAGGGCCCAGACCCACAGTTGCTCTGCATGTGCCCACGTACCACACTCTGGATTTGAGAACTTCTTCTGTAGGCAGTTTGTGGAGTCCTGGTTGCTCGAGGCACACCGTTTTGCGGGTCTTAGCTTTGAAACTGCCCTATAAGTGCCTGTGCCTTAGACTTCTGAGATGACAGTCATCTTATTGTGGGGTGTAAAAGTTTACACCCCATAATAGAGATTAAATGTCAACATGAGATTCAGGGAGAAAATGTCACATTCAAACCATGGCATGAAATGATTTTTGATAGCCACGTATTTTTAAAAGAATATCTTTCAGTGTCTCGAAATACATAGAACGACCATCTCAGAATTATCATAGACTAAATACAAGTATAAGTAATAAAATTTCTAGAGGAAAACGAGGATGAAAATTCTATTATTAGGTTTTAGCAAGGCTTCTGAAATAGAACACACACACACACACACACACACACACACACACACACACACACACACACAATGCCTTATAAAGGAAATTACCAATTTACCAAAATTATATTTTTTTCCTTTCTAAGAGACTGATTGTGAAGCATGAACAGACAGCCCATGAAGTGTAAAAAGGTGTTCACAATGGATATACTCAACAAAGGACTCGCATTCAGAATATATAAGGAAGCAAACAACCCAGCTGGGCATGGTGTGGTGCCTGCCGAGAACTCCAGCACTTGGGAGGGAAAGACAGGTCATCCTTAGTTCTATGGTGAGTTTGAGAGCAGCGTGAACTATGTGACACCCTGTCTCCAATATACCACCAAAGGAAAGGCGGGAGGACGAGAAGGAGAGAGAATCCAATCAAAACAGACAATCAACTCAAACAGACACCTCAACAGTGAAGGTAAGTGATGGCCTAGAAATACATGAAGCACGTTGTTCATCAGCAAAGTGGGAATTAAAACTATAATGATAAGCCAGTGACTATCCATTATTGTGACCATAATTAAAATGATGGGAATTACAAAATGTTAATGAGGCTGTTAGGCAACAGGAGCCCTGCTGGAAAGGAAGATGGCATCATCACTTAGAAGAGAAGCTCTTGGTTTCTTAAAAAGTTAAAAACATATGAACCAGACATTCCATTCTAAGTGTTTATACAAGGGAAACAGAAACATATGTTCATGCAATGACTTGTACACAAATATTTATATTAGCTTCATGCACAATAACAGAACCTGGAAATACTCCATAGCAGTTTTATGCACAATTAGCAAAAATTGGAAGTAGACCAGATGCTCCAACAGGTAATAGATAAATAGTGGAATATTATTAGACAAAAAAAAAAAGAAACAAACTTCTAGCATATAGAACAAAATGAACTACCACCAAGATCATTTTGTGTTTTGTCCAAGAAGCCTGTAGTGAAGACTGCGGTCCCGTTTCTATAAAACCCAGTCACTACGATAAGGTTCTAACAGGAAAGCTGTTCTGTGATTCAAAGCAAAGGCGCCAATGGCAATAGAGAGGAGTCAAGAAAATATAAACCCCCGGGGGGTTAAAAATAGTCTTTATTTTGCTGTAGCAGTGATCTCATAGACATATGCAGAGCTGTGCATATTCAGTGAACGCAGCAAATTACTCGCCAGTAATACTTCACTGAAGCTGATTTTTTTTTTTTTGGTTTTTCGAGACAGGGTTTCTCTGCGTAGCTTTGCGCCTTTCCTGGGACTCACGTGGTAGCCCATGCTGGCCTCGAACTCACAGAGATCCGCCTGGCTCTGCCTCCCGAGTGCTGGGATTAAAGGCGTGAGCCACCACCGCCCGGCTGAAGCTGATTTTGAAACGAACTAACCAACTGTTGTGAGTTCACAAACTAATCTCTGGAATTTGGACCCAAGGTTTTCTAAATAACACAAATTCCCTTCCCCGGGCTCATGTAAGGGGAGATCTATCCCTGTTTTCCCTTCCCTCCCCTCCCCTAACCTCCTCCTCCTCCTCTCCCCTCCTCTTCTCCCCTTCCCCTTCCCTTCCACATCACATGCCACCCTCCCCTTCCTTTCCCTCCCTTCCAAGTCCCAGGCCACCTGCTGTTCTAAGCTTCAAACAATGGCAGGCAAAAAAGAACTTCAAACTAGTGCCTCATCCCCAGGTTTTGCTACAGCAGCAAGCCTCTGTATCTGGGCTCTCTGTGTCTTTTCTCTCAAAGCAGCCTAAGATAGCTGATCTTCATTAGTTACTTGACTGGATTTGGAAGCCCACAGAGCAGTGAGGCATACCTCTGGTATGTCTGGGACAGCATGTCTACAGAGGGGTGACTGAGACCAGAAGACCCCCGCCCCCTGATGTAGGCAGCATTACTTCATGGGCTGAGGCCCACATGGAAGGAGAGGGCAAGGACATCAGCATTCCCCTTCACTCTGCTTTCTTGTCGGTCAACTGCTCTCCTCTGCCTCGAGCTCCTCCACCATGATATACTTCCAATGATCAAGTTAAGTAACCATGCATTGAACCCTCTGAAATGGTGAGCAAAATAAATCTATATTCCTTTGTTTCTGTCAGTTGTATTGTCAAAATGAGGCAAAAGTAACTGTCCCAGAGCGCTGTATGTAGAAGAGCTTTACTAAGAGCCAGAGAAGGACAAGTATTAATAACCATGTAACTGATTTTGTTCAGTTGGTTTTCTGAAAGGGTGTATTACATCGCCCAGGCTGCTCTCCCATCATCTCCACCTCCCACATACTGGGGTCATAGGTGTGTATTGCCTTCCTCATTTCCTTAAATTTAATGACTTTTCTCTTGGTGAAGAATCCTGATGCTATAATTTCTTATGATCCTAAAGTCAATCACAGTAAGTTTTCCTGATTCCCTAAAGGTTCTTTCAGCAACCAGAAAATTTTCTATCAACACAATTTATATACCCAGTGGTATTTTGACCAGGGTATGTTCTAGGGTTTGAGTTCTGCTGCTCTTAAGTCTCATCCATGTTGGCTGACTCAGAGAAAGGGCACCTCAGTGGGATTAATCTCTACCTCTCACTGAAGGGTAGTAGGTATTGTTTATAAATTAAAGCACTGGGAAATTTAAATGTTATTGAATATAATTCTAGCATATTTAATTCCTACCAGTTCTCCTGTTTAAGATGTGTAATGAGAAAGTCTCCAGATAATATTGTCAGGTTTTCTAGAAGCATTACAAATCAGAAGCTGCCTGCATAGCTATATAAAATTAAAAATGGTTTCATTATATATACATACATAAAATTCCATTAGGGAACACTGTGAGATGTTTGCATTATATGGATAATGTATGATCCAGAAATGCACAGAAGATATCAGAGAAAAACCCTGAATAGAAATGATACAAGCACAGATCAAATTCTTAACCAGGTATACTCTGAGTATACATGGAGTTTATATGATGGTGGATGCCAATAATCCCAACACCCAGGAGGTACAGGCAGAAGGTTCAAGAGTTCAAGGCCAATACTGACCATAAAGTGAGTTTGAGGCCAGCTTGAGCTATATGAGACTCTACCTCAGGAAAGCAAAACGGAACATGGAGAGTGAGACACAAGAATTAAAATTTAAAGAAGACCATTGATGCAGAAAGAGTTGAGTTAGCAAAGCCTTTTACCATAATTCTCAAGAGATTTAATATGGCTTACTTTATGCTACACAGAAAAAGTAAGCTAGTTGTCTACAAAGCCCTTATTATAATAGGAAAGCCAGCCCTATGGTTTCCATTTCTTAAATGGCAGAGATTTGCTCCCAATATATAAAAGAGCAAAGAGAATGATTCACACACCATTTGAGAAACTTGGTGATAAAGAGGTCGGAAAGTAAGAGCAAAAGATACTTTTGGAAGAATAGTGAGGTATTGAATGGGCTCAAGGGATATGACCTAGCAGTCAAGACATGTTGGACTGAATGATCCTCACAGTCCTTTCACATAGGATTCCTGGTTATGTTTTGAATGGACAGACTAAGGACTTCTATAAGGATGTCTAACAAACTGGTCTATATCAGCTGTTTATGCTAAAAATTCATTTGGAATCTGTATGTGTCTTTACAAGAGCAACCCTGGAGTGGTCATTGAAAATCTTTCCATGTTTCCAAGATTTTGAGTTAACCTCTTCCTGGCTTCACAAGGCAGGAAGGAAACTGTCCCTTCAGTTCCACATACCAACATGACCCCTTCACTAACCAGACAGGGAGCCTAATTTCTACATTCTCAAGGATCTATGCCTCAGACCAGAGGGACTTTCCTCCCAAGAGAAATCCTAGGAAACTCATGACCAGACTGAATTATCTGCCTTCACTCGCCACCAATGGCAAGGACTGGCAGGCCTGCCCTGTGGCTGCCTGGTTTGTGATTGTAGGAAACGCTAGAGAGTTTGGGTGATTTGGTGGTACCCTGCCCAGCTCTGAATTCACACAGAATTTGTCACAGCCAAGATGTGGGGAACAGCAGAAATCCTGGGAGTGGTAAACAGATCTCCCAGCCAAAGAATCATCACTGAGAGTTTTCCTCTGAGTCAGGTAAGATTTTAAAATACATTTTTTCTGAGTAAAGGTTAGTTTAAAATTACATTCCTGGAGGGGTGTGCTGAGCTTTTTAAACACTCTTGTAATCTGAAGCTATCTCTTTGGGGGTAACAAAACTGAAATCTAAGCTCTTAGCCTCAGATTTTTTAATTTAAAGACCAACAGCATACTTTTTAAATATCCCCTGTAATTATTGGTCCTATTGAAAAACACATTTCTCACAGGCTCTTTGCACATCATTAACTGTGGAAAAAATACAGACCTTTTTTTTTTAAGTGAGCAAGATTTTTAAAGGCCTTCACCCTGACTGGTAACTTACAGAACAAGTGGCTGAGACCTTGTGGTTATTTGGACATTTATGAGTGAAAATAAAGAATGGAAACATCAGTATTTGTTCTGATTTCTTTCATTTCTGGTGGCATTTCCCATCCTATGTCACAATTTGCAGTTCTGTTTCATTCTGTTGTCTAAAAGCATATTTACAGTTTTTAACCAACAAGCATTGAATATATAATGATACGTAATTTTTGAACACATGATCAAGTGACTTATCTACCATAAACTAACAAATTAGAATTAAAACACACATCTAGAAAGAGAATTTTCATGCAGCATTTTTTAAATCCTAGTGTTCACCTTTAAATCCTTTCTTCCACGCTTTTTTCTAGAGCTGACTGAAGTCCATCACTCTGATTTCTTCTTCATCCTCTGAGTTGGACTTCCTCCACACCCAACCCTTTCGCTTCCAGTGACCACTGCAAATCCTCTTGTGGAGGGTTTCCTCAAGAGCAAACACACAGCTCAAGATAGCTGATCTGTTCTGTGCTACATTTTGAGTTTACTGGGTTCAGATAGGAATGCTCAAAAGTCATGTGTCTTCTCAAGCTGGCCCTTCTTCCATCGAAGGACCGAAGAAGGACCTGCTCTCATTCCCCAGGGGTGTTGTAGTAGGCACTGCTAACTCCTATGTATCCAGAGACTTCTTCACTGTTCTATCATTATCACCCAAAGGAGGAAGGGAAGTTTGGCCACTCTCCCTGACAGTAATTAAAGAGTGACCTACTGTGTTTGAAATGTGCAATGGCATGAATTGCAAAGAATGTGTCTCTCCTTGCCAGGGGCAACAGAAAGTAGACAACTCATTCTTAATATCTCTGATTGACTGTCTTACTAATAATCATGAGCTCTGTTTGGGGCCTAAGAATCAGGTTTAAAAATTCAACCTGAAGCAGAAATTGTGTTTCAGAAGACAAAGATACAGCTTAAGAGAGACAGGGGTGTGTGTGTGTGGGCGGGGGGAAATCTATCAAGTATT